TTAAGTCAATAATTTTCGATGTAGATGTAACATTATTCCACAGACGAGGTCGATTGAACTCGGGTGGATACGAAAACATTCGAAAAGTCCTCTAACTCGTCTATTTTGCTAGTTTAATCATTTCGTCGAGTCGACGGACAGAATAGTAACAGAAATGTGGTAACCGTGTGAGACTTTTAGGTCTTGGCAACTATGCTTTCAGGTCAGGAAAACCGAAACTTGCCTGTGCCACTTTAATTCGCTTTTTTTCGTCATTATGCACAACAACGAAGGTAAAGTTGATGAAAGTGACTACTTCCTCACCGATTTCGGTGATTTTTGTATGTTTTGTGAAAGTATTTTGAGCAGTTCCTTCTTCTAATGGGTACGTTGGACAGAAATATTTTATTGATAAGTTAAAATTTTCATAAAATCGTGTTTACGGGATAAAGATAATTCATTCACGTTGTGAATTTACATATTTGTAAGTAAAAAGACATCATAGTTAATTATGCTGTTCATAAAAATATATTTCAATCAATCTTTTAATACTTTTAAGGTGTTAATATTTAGACAAATATGTACTAAATTTTTCATTCCAATTTCCGTTAGTCGTTGTTTTAAATTTGCTGTTTATATTCCTTCATTGATAAAGTACCATTCAATTCAATAAATAATTCTCGAAACAGGGCTGGCAACACTGTTCATATTTTTTAAATTTTAATTTTCGCCACTAGTAGTGCTGCAGTCGCAAAATCGGTAAGATAGAGTGTGACACGAAAATGGTATGGTTCTGAGGACCGTATTACCATGGCCGAAGAAATACATTAGATGTGTGGTCTATCTATATACCTTGGTATAGCGACGAAGAGAAAAAGGAATAAATTATGTCACGTGTCTTTGTTTATGTCTCTGTTTTTCTGTGATTTCGTTTCTCTTTTCTAAATTTTTTAAAAGGATAGTTATAGGAAATTAATTTGACGTTAATTTATTTAGTTGATACTGTAATAAGATGCTATCTATGCAAACGATAGATAGTAAAATTTCCGACTCAGGCTATGAGTCATTTTATAAACTTCATCAGGATACTGGTTCATATTGTTGTTAAAATGCGACTTGAGTTACGGATAAAGTTGTAATAATCAATGAATTTTGTAAATTTATTATTAATATGAATCAGAAGCATCGGGAAACACTAGACTCCTGTTGCGAGAAAATTATATCTAAAGTAAACATAATTAGATTGTGGCCAAAGCTTCTTGAAAACAAAGTTTTTAATAGAGATGACGTGAATATTTCGCGTTGGAAGGTAAGAAAATTTTGATAATTTAATGAACAGTTTATGATTGACAATTATGTTGTAGAATTATTTAACAAATTAATATAATATTCCATATTTTATATTTATATTCTATATTTTATATAGAAAAATCTCACAGAAGAAGCAACTATCCGTGATATATATTTGACCATAAAAACACGTGGACCATTTGCTTTTAATCGGTTTCTTGAAAGTTTAAAACAAAGTAATCATGAAGATTTAGCAGATATTTTAGAAGGAAGAAGAACTATACTTTTTAATAATGATGAACAAAGAGATATTAATCATATTGAAATTACAAAGGATAATAATGTAGAAGAACCTACTTATATCGGAACTGAAGAAGGGTAAGGATAAAATTCTCCTAATTTCTCCCCATTAGCCCTAAATTATTTTGTATTTATATTCTACTTTTCATTTACTGTAACTGCCATATTTTTAAAAAGACCACAGGGTGACTTTTTCCGTAATATACAAGTATTAGAAGAACCATTACAAATTTCTGTACGAAAAGCCACATCATTTTTAGACGATGCTGCATATGAAAATGTGCAGACATATCCAATGCGCAGCAAACCACGTGGCCTAGTCTTAATAATAACAAATATTGATTACGCGCATCCAGATAAAGAACCTAGAACTTCGGCAGTATATGACGAGTTGAATCTGAAGCAGCTTTTTGAACAAATGGGTTTTCATGTTTTCTCCTCTCGCAATTTAACAGCGCAGGTAAATATGGATACATTTGGAAAATGAGAAACAAATTATGAATATACGTCATAATAGTTTATTCTTTTTCAAGGAAATGTTAAACGAAATTAAAGAATTTTCTAAACATAAAGAACTACGTAAGGTAGATTCATGTTTTGTTATAATTAGTAGTCACGGTAACATTAGTACTGAGTATGAAATTACAGAAATAGAGGGTGTGGAAAAACACAATTTGGACACAGTACAAAGTCGTAAAACAATCTTATGTGTTGATATTTTAAGTTATTTTACTGCAGAAAATTGTCCTCATCTTGCAGGGAAACCAAAAATTTTCATTTTTCAATTATGTAGGCAAGTATTAAAATCATTATAAAAATTATTTTCAGGGATACATATATTGATGGTGTCTCATTATTATTCATTTATTTTTTTCAGAGGTGCAAAGAAGCAAAAATCAGTAAAGGAACCTAGATACACAACAGATATATCTAATTTTCAACAATCTTCTGATGAAATGATTCATTTTAGAAGAAATAATAGGGAAATGTTAAGAAGTTATGAAGATATGCTACTTGTCTATGCTACCCTTCCAGGATACGTTGCTTTCCGGGATACAATAACTGGTAGTTGGTTCATACAAATTTTATGTGAAGTATTTATGAAATATGCTCATAAAGCTCATCTTCAGGATTTACTAAACATGGTGAATAAATCTTACGAAAGTATATTAATGCCATTTTATACATTAGTTACAATTATTATTTAATGCTTCAGGTTGATGAAAGATTAAAAATACAAAGAACGAATGGAGGAGAATGTCAAACATTAACGGTAACATCGATCGGATTCAATAAACATTGTTATCTTAATCCTGGTCTTTTTCAACAAACATGATCGTAAAAACTTGCCATTGAACAAAACGCGTAATTTATACATGTAGATTAATATTTTTTATACAAATATTATCTGTTTTTAACAATTGAATAAATCGGACAAATTTTATATATCGAATAAGTTTACGTTTATTAAATTTTATAAAATATAATAAGAAATGTGTAAACTTTACGTTTTTCTTTGTGTGTGTGTGTGTGTATGTACGATCTATCTACATTGCTCAAAATGTTTTAAATCTGTGATGAAGTGCGAATGATCATAAATATAGTAATATGTATGATCAAAAAAAAAAAAGAATAATGAAAGGAGTAAATGAAAGGGAAGCAGTATATATCAAATTGAAAGGAGCAATAATAACGATGACGAAAGCAAACTGACATCCAATTGCATTTCTGTACAATAGCACTCCAACGTTTATGTCAATTACATATACTGAGATTTACTCTGGATTTTTATCTTTAAACGAATAATTATCTGCTTATGTTATCTGATGTTATAGTACGAAAAAAATTTAAGGATAAAATATTACAGCCACAATAATATTTGCGTTAGATTTTTGCATTGTATGCCGTAGTTGAAAGAGAAAAAAGGTGTTTTGAAGTTAATATCATATACCAAAAACATTTGTCATATCTCGATTTATGTTCTAACGATATTACAGTTGTAAATTATAAATTACATGCTTAACTATATTCTAAATTTAGGTAGATGAAAAGATAAACATTCCAATACTTTTAGATCTACTTTCGATAAGTACGTCACACTGTGCAATAGCGGAATTTATAAAAATTGAAGTAATGATAATGAGAAAAATTTGTTATTAGAGAAAAGAAAATAGAAAAATTGAACTCTTGAGAAATTTTGCAATAATTAAATAATTAAATTCGAAAATTAAAGTAAATTAAGTTTTAATATAATCAACTGTATTTGGGTATGTCTCCATAAACTGCTATATGCTAAACATATTTTTTTTTATGTGCATAATATTTTTTGTTAAGTTGCTGATTGTTTCGGATATGGCTCAAGTGAATGTCAATGAGTCAACGTCAAGACCATTGAATCAAAAAAAAAAAAAAAAAATTCAAACTTATTTACTAAAAAGTCGAGAATGACACCCTCTTCTTAGCATAATTTCGTTTTGTTTTTTTGTTTCTTTCTTTTCAATACAATCCTGTACATCATCCAATAGAAATAGGATATGAAGCTAATGTTTAATACAAGGATTGCGCGTTGGAAGAACGTGGTTTCTTAATCTTCTCCAAGTTCTTGATTACCAAATCGTGCAGAGAACAATAACGATTACGGACTTCACACATAACTAGCCATAAGCTTACATATTCTTTCTCATCTAATTCTTGAACTGCTCTTCTATAATCGCTGATGTGTGGATACTTTGCAACTTTACTAACAATTTTCCCTCTAGAAATAAAATACCTGAAAGAGATATAATTGTGTGACTATAATTTATACTTTGTTCAAAGAAGAATTTCATTATATTTCATCCTCAATACTACTACTATCTATGTTACCTCGATATTTGATCGAAAAATGCGGCAGCCTCGCTTTCCACTGATTGTATTTCAGCAAGTGTATCTTCTTGAATTGACACACCAAAGTTGTTACCATCTTCGATTTTTGGAATCAAAAACGAGATCCACATTTTCAGCTGAAAATTCAAAGATAAAAATAACTGACAGGAATATTGAAATTTATATATACTTTATAGAATATATTTTATAGAATACCAAATTAGAATCTTCTAATAGTTGTCGAATATAAGGTTTAACTATGTGAATAAGATCACATAAGGGCTTGTTACATGGTACAGGTCCATTTGGTAATACCATCACTTTGGTTCCACTGGTATCATCTATACTGTTGTCTACTTTTCGTTTCTTTGCAGCAGACTCATTTTCGGAATGATTAAGAATAATAGGATCTGGAATGGGCACATTTAAGTCTTGATGAATATTTGACAATTTCCTATTACGGAAGCCAGGAGTCTCCAATAATTCATTCAACTTAACAATCTTCTCTGGAAATCCTTTTAATAACAGTTGTTCAGCCTAAATAAATTTTACACATGCATGATATATTTTCTAGTGAATTGATACAAAGAACATTCGGAGAAAATTCAATTAATTACCTTTGTCTTTAGAGAATCTTTGTATTCCTGAACCTGCAAGATAAACTTGAAAAGGTAAATGCATTAAACAGAATAGTTACATTCAGTTCAAAGTTGGTACTTTGTTTTAATTACATTTACAGTGTGTGTGTGTGTGTGTGTGTATGATGTATGTATGTATGTATGTGTATATATATATATATATATGTATATATATATATATATATATCCTAAATACAAATAGAACAAGATTATATATAATAGCAGTTACAGGTAATATATCTATTTTACAACATGAAGCTTATGAACTACTCTTGAAACATTGATTGAAACGACAAACAGATATAGAAAGTCACAGAAGAAAATCGAAGAAAGAATTCTAACGTCGATATAATAATACAGATATAGTTTTGTGTAAGTATTGAGATAAAATGACTGTCCAAGGCCAATCATTACGAATACAACAAAAAAAAATTAAAAAACTGATGTGCGTAGATGTTGATAAAATGATATTAAGATTTTTGAAAATATCAATAACGGAACAGCAAATATTATTTGGAACATAGTGATGCCGGTGTGTTAAACGCTGCCATTAACCTAAACATTCTTGTTAGCAGTACATTAAACGCCAGATATAAACGACTTAATTTGATACCTTCGTTCTCTGTAGTTCCATTTGTAATATAAAATATTTTACCTTCTGCGCTGTAGTATCCGCCATTATATACTCCATGAAAAAAAAAAGTTTATAAAATATAACCACACTGTCCCTTTGTTGTAACGTACAACTTCAAACAGGAAGTCGTAGCGAGTATTCTTACTACGCCATCAAATCAGAATCTGTAATGTTAATGTAATTACAACAGCCTTCTCAAAATTTGAATTTCTCTTTATTCGTGCGAACTTATTTTTTATTCATCAAGATCGAAATGTCATAGGACCGATTGACAGAATATTATAATCATGATCATGTGTCAAGATGTACGATGATAGCGCAAAATGTCTTTATTCTTTTGCTTTTAAAAGTACTAATTGGTGTTCCAATAGAAATTTTGTCTGAATTTGAACAATTTGAGTCTTCTTTAACAAAAATATAGAATTAAGAAAATATAATTCGATAAATTCTGTTCGTTGTGACCGATGTAAGTAGAATATTTATTATACAAAATAATATTTTGATTGATTATATCAGAAACTAAATCAATACTTACTATATAATGATTTATAACTGTTGAACAAGGACCAATAGGAAAGAGAAGAAAAGGAATAATACTTCATTGAATTAACGCTATGGATATGTTAAAAAAAATTGTAATTCCTTTCAAA